CCAGGCAGAGCCTGGTGCAGGCTCCTGAGCCTGCATTTGGCTATTTCAGGAGCCCCTGCGGTGTTCCACATATGGTGGCAGTTGCAAGGGACAGCAGCGAGTAGACAAAGTCCCTCGTCTCAGGGAGCTTCTAGTGGACAAAAGACACTGACCTTAGCCCACATTGGCTGCGGGGAAGGAGACAGTGGTCAAGGAGTTTTTATCTGAGGATGCTTGATAGAGGCTGGGAGTGAGAAGGAGAGAGCCCCGTGGGTAGTAGTAGGAGGGCTGTGCAGGCAGAAGAAAGGGTGGGCTTTGCTGCTTTGAGTCATTGAAGAGAGAGGCCTCCAATGCATGCCCTTACCCAGGAGCCCTAGAGAGTGCTGAGTGAGGGCGGGAGTCCCTGGGGTCCTTTGAGATAGCCCACGGTGAAGGATGCATGGGTAATCGAGGCGCCATCCACTCCGTAAACATTCACCACACCCTACTGTGTTTTTGTCACTGAGGTAGAGAAGAGGAAAAGCGAATGGGGCAGACACGGCCCTTGCCCCCAACCCTGTGTTCTGAGGTGAAGGCACATGTGTCGTGCAGACCCTACAGCTCTGAACGCCTCACAGTGGGGACGTGCGAAGGCAGCATGGCACTGCCGGAGAGGGATTGTGCGGCGCAGTTAACCGGACTCAGGCTTTGGGGGCTCCTTTGGGGTGGTGTTGGCCAGTGACAGGGACTGTATATAGAAGGCCACCCTGAAAGGAGGGGTCACTCTTTGGAGAGCAGGCCTCGAGCACAGCGGAGAAGCTCATCTGAGCTGGCTGCCAGCAAGGAGGAAGGACCAGCTGCTCTCCATGTACCTAAGTGACACTGGGCAACCTTGGGACCGGCCCAGAGGACAGTGACCTGGGGGCATCCCTGGCCTTCCTGGCTGGCGAGTGACTAAGGTCTGTTTTTAGCTATGGAGCCGCTTCCTTCTGCCCACCAACTGTCTCCCTGAGTCACCCACCCAGTTACCAGCAGGGTGAGGACAGAGGATCAGGCACCTCAGAGGAGCCTCCAGTTTATAGTTTTGCTGTGTGTGTGTACTCAAAGGATGGGGCCGAGAGAACTGGGCTGAGAGTGGGGGGACCTCCGGTGGGGATACTTTTTTATTCTAATTTCATCTCTATTGACCAATTATACGTGAGGATGCAGAGGGTCCCACATACCAGTCCTGGGCATCAAAAACAGCACCCCAATTTACAGAGGAGGAAACTGAGGCTCAGATAAGTGAATCCACACAGCAAGAAATAGAAAGGACAGAATTTAAGCTCACAGCATCGTTTAATCCTTCCTTTACGTTCTAGCCCCTTCTTACACAGCAGCTAGATACTGTCACCATGGTAAGGGGACATATCAGCCCCCAAATGCAGATTTGTTTCACTTGACTATCATTTATAGTGCAATTCTGCGTGCCAGGCCCTGCCTTAAGCACTTTGCCAATGCTGACTTACAGTGCCCTCACACCAGCCCCATGGGAGTACACTCCATTTGTGTCCTTCTGACAAAAAACGGAGAGGAAGTGGCTTTTCCCAGGCCACACAGCTAGGACTGCACTGGAGGCAGCCTTGCCTCTGGCAGCCTGGGTTACGGGGTGATGGGAGCTTGGTCAAGGAAGGGATGTCGGGCCTGAATTCCTTGGTTCCTAAACTCCCAACAGGCAGATGTGCCCGGCCAGCACAGCCTCCCCCTGCTTTCTCATCACTGTGGCAGCTGCAGGAAGCCGCCCTCAGGGGGAGAGGGTCTCTCACCAGCCAAATGCTGTCTGGGGGTGTGGGAAGGCATGAGTAACTTGTAACTCAGGCAGGGGGATGCCTTCAGCAGGGAAGGAAGCAGTGGGTGGGAGGCAGGCCTGTGATAAGCCCAGTGGAGGGGTCTGTGAGGGAGGTGGGCCCTTGGGGTGTGGTGGGGACCCCATCCATGCCCCCCTGAAGGCAGATGGGCACTCTGACCTTGGACAGCCAGACCAAATGCCAGCAGAGGATGACAGTCCAATAGGGTGGGTGCATTTTGTTGGAACAGGCCCTTCCTGCCTCCTGGAATGCACATAATGCAAGAAGGTCAGCAGACATCTTCAAGGGTGCATTCCAAGAATCTGAGCTGCTGTGATGAAGAGCTCGGGAATAGTCTCAAATACCGAGCCTACCATTTTAGGATTTGATCTGCTCTCAGAACCCATTTGGCTCTAATTTCCTGAAGGGGAGTAAATGGTCCCTGGACTTGGGACTGGAGACAGATGAGCCTCCACTGATGGAGTCCCCGAGGTGTCAGACACCACATCCTGGCCCTAGGAGTTGAATGGGTGGCTTGAGGAGCCAGCTCTGTTGTGCCTGACTGTGAGACCTTGCCTTGACCATCTGGATCAAGATGTTTTATCTAGACTGACCTAGATGAGGGGTGCTTTCTGGCTCTATACTCCACCTCCCAATGGGGCAGTCGGGCAAGAGGCAGAAGTATCTGTTGGCCACAGAAAGAACATGTGGGCAGGATGCCCAGCAGGAAGGTGCCCCCTGGGTACTGAGCAGAGATCATGATGTCCAGGCCTTCTGGCCAAGTACCTCCAGGGATGGGACTGTCTCCAGGGATGGGATGTCCCCCAGGCCAGATAACTCCCCTGAGACTCAGACACAGAATCAGATTGCCTACTTCCTACCCTTTGGACAAAGAGCTAAAACCAAGGCCCAGAGGAGTGGGCCTGGTCCAAGATTGTTTCTTGGGTAGGCCTAGACCAAGGTCCTACTTGGGAACATCACCATTTCTTGACAGACAAGAAGTCTTGGGGGTTACGGACAGAGGGAGGTGTGGCGCCAGAGCTGAGTTTGGCTATCTTTTTTTTTTTTTTTTTTTTTTTTGCATGCTTCCCAAGGCCCAAGCATGCAAGGCCTCAGCTTGGTTTTTCACTAACTCTCTATGAGGCAGCTACTCCCTTGGGTGGGGACCAGTGGAATGGTGGTGTGGGAAGTACCAACTAAAGACATAGAGAGGAACCTGAGTCTCATTATCACCCCAGCACAAGTACTGGAAGGAACAGAGGCAAGAGTTGCAGAACCTCAGTCTCCTCTTCTGAGACATGGACACTGGGCGGAGAGGCTGAACATCCTCGGGAGGCTGGGTACTTTCCCCAGCCCTGCTGGCTTCCCATCTTCCTACCAGCTAGGATACAGGCTGAGAAGGGACTTGGGCTGAGAAGTCACCAGGGCTCCAGAGAAATGCAAAGCAAGGAACAGTGCCCGACAGCGGCCTCTTTCCCTGACCCAGCCGAGAAAGGATCACCACCAGGGACTGCACCCTGTTGACTGTGTCTCCCCAGCATACCCACTCCCACACTCCCCACATGCTGACCCCACATCACATGAGGGTCCCCTTCCTCTGTGTATCTGCACCCCTCACTACATAGGACCCTGTTACCTTCCCTCCCAACAACCCACTGTTCTGTTCTGCTGGTTGGGGTGCAGCAGGCATGGCTGGGAGGGGGAGATGGGAGGGGAGGAGGGGGCAGTCCACTTCCCCCAGCTGGCCAGGCATTTTCCCACCCCCTTCCAGTCACAGCAAGCTTTCGTCCCTCAGGTCCCCCCTCCACCTCAGTTCTGGAGTCTGTGGGAACCAGACAGCTCAGTCAGGCCAGCCAACTTGCTTCCTCCAAAGCCCCAGGGGACCTCTGAAGGGAGGAGGGAGCCACAGAGGCTGAAGTCAGTGGATAAGCCGCCCAGGGAAGGACTTGTGGAGGAGACTAGGCCACTTGACTGAGAAAGGGCAGCCACTGGGTGCCACCTCATGGGACGGAAGGCCTTCTGAGCTCTCTGCCGAAGATTAAAACGGGGGCACATCAGCTCTTTGGCCCCTCAGCCTCAGCCCGTACCCACGGCACGGAAGAGGTGATGGAGGCTCAGGAACTGTTTGCTTCTCTGTTCCTTGCAGAAGGTGCAGTGAGTTCTCAGGTTCCTGTCTGGTCCTCTGGTGGGCACCATGCTAACCGCCATACCTCGTGTTCTGCTCGAGAGAATAGTTAGTTCATGGCAAAGCTTGGAGCTCAGTTGCCTCTGCTTAGTACCTAGGACAGCCCCCACCCTCAAAGAAATGTGTTCACAAAGAGTCACAGGAGGGTAGTGAGATGGCTTAAGTGGGTAATGGCCCCTGTGTTTGGTCTCTAGGCCCCATGTGGTAGAAGGAGAGAATCGACTCCTACAAGTTGCCTCTGAACCCCGTGAGCTCTCTCTCTCTCTCTCTCTCTCTCTCTCTCTCTCTCTCTCTCTCTCTCTCTCTCTCTCTCTCTCTCTCATACACACACACACACACAAATTAATGTAATATGATTTTGGCAAAAAGTTACCAGGAGACTTCAGACTTCAGAGACCCAGGGACCCAGGAGAGGTCCCGTTACTGTGGAGAGTTCAGATAAAGGCCAGGTGCTGCTTTTTAACCTTGGATTCCTGTCTGCCCAAGGGTGAAGGGTGTCTTATCAGCCCTGGTGTTCAGCAAGGCTCGACTCCTCCTCTGGGGCCCTCCCATGCTGTCCCAGAGGCAACTTTCCACCCTGCACCTTCCCTCAGCTTGTGTCGGCCGTGCAGACCTGGGTACCCGTTGTTCTGCCGGTCTTTTGAACTTCCGCTGGAGCTGGGGTGAGCTCTGAGCCTTGGCTCCTACTATTTATTGTAAATGGGGCTGGTAGTCCATAGAACCCAAGCAAGATGGTAGAAACAAGCCTGGGAGGGGATGGCAGCGGGCATGGGGAGGCTTCGTAAAAAGGGTGTCCAGCTACAAGTTCAAGGACAGAAAGCAGCCTCTTAGGCCAGCCCAGCTTTCCCATACTCTGTGGACCTTGGCTGCATCTTCTCTCTGCCTGCCCTCATGCCCTACTTTTCCTTCCTGGGAAACTCCCCAAGAAAGTCCCCAGCAGGAGAAGTCTCAAGCAGGACCTTTCCAGATGGGTGCCCCACACAGAACCCAGCATCCTGGTCCTTAGCCCCAGTCATTCAGCAGACAGACCCTCACCATCACACTGGCTTTATTAGCCCTGACAACCACAGAGAAAATCCCGAGGGTCCCACTTGCCCTCATCCCAAGTTTGTCTGGAGGCCCCAGGGACCTGGCTGACTGCTCACTTCTGCCTTCTGATCCTCACAGTCCTTGGCCTCCCAGGGCTTGGGTCCTTGTAGAGCGCCCTAGGTCCTACAGCCAGACGGAGTCTGCAGAGAATAGTTGACAGAGACCCTGCAGAGGGACTGCTGCAGTCAATCACTCGAAGAAGAACATTCCTGGTGTCCGGTAAAGGGAAGGGGGTAATCCCAGGGGGTACCCGGAGCCTCCCTGGACAGGGAAGTTCCCAGTCACCCAGGGTTCCTTGGAGTCAGCTGGCAGGGGCAGTGGGGCCCGGTGAGAGGCTGAAGGAGTCGAGGGTGCAGGGGTGGGGACTGCAGAGGCCAAGAGGTGTTCAAGGCTCGGGTCAGTCCCCATACAGAAATTCAGCGCCTGCATCCGGCACTGGTAGCTGCTCCCGATGCCCTCAGGGGCCACACCAGGTGTGGGGGCCTTGCCGAGACTCTCAGCTTCAGAGAAGGCAGCCGAAAAGCTGGATGCTGGGCACTGGGAGGGTGAGGTGGCTTCGGGGAGCTCCCTTGGGCCTGCAGACTTGGACGAGCACATCTCTTTGGATCCAGTGGGCAGCTGGGGCCTGGCGTCACTGGTTGCTGGGCATACACTGGCTGGCAACGATCCCATCAGACCCCCAAAGTTTAGGCCCTTGAGGTTTGGCACCTCTGGTGGGAATGGGCACAGCCTGCTAGTAGTGGTGTTGGGGGCTCCTGGGTCTGGGCTGGCAGCTCTGAGGGGTCTGTGGTCTGCCTTGACAGGGCCCTTGGTGCCCTGGGCACCTGTGCGCTTGGTGAAGCGTCTGCGGCGGCGGAGGAAGCTGCCATGCTGGAACATGTCGTGGCAGTCGGGATCCAGGGTCCAGTAGCTGCCCTTGCCTGGCTTGCGGTCGTCGCGGGGCACCTTGACGAAGCACTCATTGAGAGACAGGTTATGGCGGATGCTGTTCTGCCAGCCTGGCCGATTGTGCCGGTAAAAAGCGAAGCGGCCCATGATGTAGCCGTAGATGCCACTGAGGGTGGCCCGCTGCCCCGGTGAACTCTGGATAGCCATGGCAATCAGGGCTATGTAGCTGTAAGGGGGCTTGGTGGACTCTGCCGAAGGAGCCAAGGATCCCGGCGATGGTTGCTGCTGCATGCTGACTGTTGCTGGGACTGCAGAGCCGGGGACGGCATTCAGGGCTGGCGAGCTGCACAGGCTGCCCAGGCCGTTAAAAAACCCACTGGCCCAGCCTCCCAGCCTAGAAAGGCAAAAAGAGGTGGGCCCACCACGCTGCCCTTCCCTCCTCTCACACCGCCCTTGTCAAGTCTAAGGAGGCGGGCAAGAGAATCCAGCAGTTGGAAGCTGTGAGCAGCTGTGAAGAGGTGGGAGGGCAGAGACATGCTCTGAAGCTGAGTGAGACAGGGAGGGGGGGGGAGGCTTACATACATACATACATACATACATACATATATACAGACAGACAGACACACACACACACACACACACACGCACACGCACACGCACACGCACACGCACACGCACACGCACACGCACACACACACGAGATAGAACCAGACATTTGGAGAGAGTCAATAAGCATACAGAGAGAGTGCCAGTCACAGTAGGGGAAAAGAAGGAAAGAACCTGGAGACAGAAGGACCTGCAGGGACACAGGTATGACCAGAGGTGGAGCAGGGGAGGAGAAGGGTGGAATCTCAGCAGTGTCCCTATGGAGCGCGAAAAGCCACAGCGGCTTCTCAGGTACCGTAGTTCTGGCTTTCCCTCTCCTCCTTTGCCACCTCCTTCCCACACCATGGAGCCCTTGGCGCCACACTATTCCAAGTCCTGGTTATTGGCCTGTGTACTTAAGAGGGCTACAAGGACAGGAAGGAGGTTGGTTGCTCAACACGGTTCCCCTGAGCCCTGGCGCCCTCTAGTGACTGCTGTGGGGAGGATGATAGCCTTCTGGGCGGAGCTCTCAGCCTCCCATCTCTAAAAAGGAATTGTCCAGGCCATGGTGAGGACCGGACAGGATCCCTTAGAAGCCGGAGCCCTGGGAGAGCCTAGTGCAGAGGAGGGCTGCATGTCCTGTGAACTCAGGCTCCTCTAGCCTCAGCCTGGAGCTGGGGCATGGCAAGGGCCAGGACAAAGTCAGTTCTTTCAATGGATCAGTGTTTTCTCTGCCCCCCCCCCCCCCCCCCCCCGCAACCCAAGTCAGTGGCCACCTGTTGTGGGCCTGGCCAGCTTATGCACCCCATCCTGGTTTTTAAATCAGGTATTGTGTAACTCCTTAACATCATCACATTTGTGAGGATCAGGAGTGGGGACAGTCATAGAACCTCAGCTGGGAACAGGCTGGGAAACCCAAGAGTATAAAGACCATGCTGTTTTGCTCTGTCCTCCATGTCCAGCACTGGGCACTGGAGCAACTCAATAAACATTCCTGGAATGACTGGACAAAGAAATGCAATGAACTTCGTTCGGTCCTTTGTCAAATCATAACATTTTTCTCCGCACAGAAGTGGCTTATTGGCTGCGGGTCTAGTTCAGTGCTTAGCATACACACAAAGCCCAGAGTTTGATTCCCAGCACTAAAAAATAGAAAAAGAAACAGAGGCTCGTTGACATGTTGTTGAAAGAGATGTATTATGTTGGCATCCATCAGAATCCTATAAGTCACCTCACTCACAAGGCAGGGGGAGGACAAAGAGGACACACTGCTTGTTGAAAGGTCCCCTCTGTCCTCACTAGGTCCCCTCTAGCAGTCAGTAAAGAACTGCGGGCCGTGGGGAGAAGCTGGCCCCTAGTCTTGGATTCTGCCTTAGAGCTGTATTCATTTTTTCCAAAGACAGACTCCCACAGGTGCTTCAGCTACGGCATCCAAAGCCCAGGACTCTGGCCAAGTGTTCTGCTTTGGGACCACCCCCAGCACCCCTAAAATAGAAATGATAGGTAGGACAAAGGGCCTGAAACCCAGAGCACCTGGGCTGTAGTGGCTCTTTTGCTTCTTCTTCTTTTTTTTTTTTTTTAGGGGGAGAGTGTTTCAAGACAGGGTTTCTCTGTGTAGCCCTGGCTGTTCTGGAACTCACTCTGTAGACCAGGCTGGCCTCGAGCTCCCAGAGATCCTCCTGCTTCTGCCTCCGAGTGCCGGAATCAAAGGCGTCACCACCACTCAGCAAGGAGTCTTTTGCTATTGGTTGGCCCTACTCTAAACAGTTCTCAGGGTCTGATCACTGGGAAGCAGTGCTTTAAAGCAAACTGGAAGAGCTTTACAGCAGGGCAAGGCTGGCTCTAAGGAATCAGCTGTAGCCATGTTGGACCAGTGACAAATGATTTTGTCCTATATCTGCCTCAAATTCAAGGGGCCTCCAAGTCAAGTTCTAGCTGACCCCCATTCCCAGCTGCCAGTCACATCCTGCATTCCAAGGCTCTAGCCTCAGGGTAGAGGGGTGAAGGCTATCTTGGACTTCGTTGTTCAGTGACCTGGGCAGAGATCTCCACTGGTTCAGGGAGGGCAGGGTTGAGGGTAAAGGACCCATACCCCATGGTGGACTGATTTTAGTCGTTGTTTAGCAGTCGGTTTAGGACTCATTCTGCTGTGCCAGAAGGTGGGGGATGCTGCTGGGGGCACTGGGCTGGGTGGGGCTCTTGTGAGGCCTCGAGGTACCGAAACTTCCAGCAGGAGGAGCTGGTGAGCCAAGACTGGTTCCACCTGCGGCGGCACCTGGCAACGAGGCAACACTTTTCCCACATTCTGGGTGGGAGCCAAGCTCATTTTTGAGTCACACAGACCAGAGAGTTGTAAAGTGTGTGTGTGTGTGTGTGTGTGTGTGTGTGTGTGTGTGTGTGTGTGTGTGTGTGTGTGTGTGTGTGTGCTGGGACTGGGGGGAGCTGGGTCTAGGGAGCATCAGTGAGAGGCCGTTTAGAAAGGGTTGAAGAAGAGGGAGAGACTCACAAGAGCCATGATGAGCCTCTCCTCTGGCTGGTCTGGAGGTCCTGGGTACTCCTCGCCAGAGCGCAGACTGATTTGGTATTCAGGCTTGGGGCGGCCGTCCTATGGGTGGGCCTGTAGCTCTGCAGGTCTGCAGCTCTGCGGGTGCAGAGACTGTGATGGCAGGACCAAGAACTTTGCATCCCACCTGGTGCCCACTTTGGGTTCATATCCCATACCTACATGCCCTGTGTGCCTGTGCCTTTAGCCCGTTTCCATGTCTCAATCCGCATCTACTCCAGGACTGTCTATTCCATGCTCCAGTGTCTATGTCCCTGCCTCCTACCCCTGTATGGTCACTCCATGCCTTTGTGCCCATCCCTTGCCCATTGCTATTCACCAATGCTTGTCTTGTGCCCACTGTGCCTAATGCCCGCTTTAAACATGTGCCCAAGTCCTGTGCTTTTGTCTCACGTCCGAGGACCAAAGCTGCCCCTGCCTGCGCCCCCTACAGGCCTAAAAGGAATCTGCCACCAGCCCCGATACCCACGTTCTTTCTCATCCTTGGTGCCTCTGTGTGGTGTCTTGTTTCCTAGTGATGATCTCTCTGAGACCACACGCCTGAAGCCACAGTCCAGGCCACTGTGGCCCTGTCACCGGGTCACACTGTGGTGCTTACCCCGGAGGAAGGCGACCTGTCCAGCAGCTGGTAGGTGCGCTCACGCTCCAGTTAGGCCGCCCTGGCACAGACACTGGGAGATTTCGCCCTTGGGCGCCACCGCAGGAGCACGCCGGGCTCCAGATGTCACAGCAGGCGCTGCAGCACGCAGGCAAAAGAGAATTTCCTGGAAACTAGCGGCGGCGGCTCCAACCAGAAGTCTGCAGGGCCAGAGTGCCAGGGGACTTGGGGAGCCTCTTCCCTGGCCTGATATCCACAGCACCCTTCTTCTTTGCCCTCAATACAATGTGGAACAACCTGGAGGTCCTCTGGCTCCCATCACGGGAATTTTTCCACTTTCCTTCTCTCAGTCAGCAACACTGAGTAAGTCTGGCAGTAGAAATAGCAATAGATCCCAGTGTAGAAACACTGGTAGTCTGGGACTCATTTGGTACAGTGCTCCTCTCGTGTGCGTGAGGCCCTGGGTTGCAACCCCAGGACCACAGACAACCGGTGAGGTCTCAACTCTGCACCAAGAACTACAGGCAATCAAGGAATGCTGATAACTGGAGACAGTCTTCCCCAGGGAAGATACACCAATTAATTATCCAATACCAAATGAGAAGCCCTGAAAACATATGCATACGAGTGTACATTATACAGACTGAGCAGGTTGTACTTACTATTTAGGAATACACACACACATACCACCTCCACCACCATCACCACCATCACCACCATCATCACCATCACCACCACCACCACCACCAACAACAACAACCCACCACTACCCACCACCACCACCACCTCCTCCACCATCACCACCACCACCACACCACCACCACCATACCACCACCATCACCATCACCACCCACCACCACCACCACCCATCTCCACCTCCTCCACCACCACTAACAACAACAAAAAAGAAAAGAGAGGCCATGAATTTGAAAGAGAACAAGAGGGGATGCATAGGACCATCTGGAGGGAGGAAAGGGAAGGGGGAAATGATGTAATTATATTACAATCTAAAAACATCATTAAAAATAATAAAATAAACTTACACAAGAACCAGACATGATGGCACACAGTTGTAATCCCAGAACATGGGATGTGGAAACAGGAGGATCAGAAGTTCCAGGTCATCCTCTGCTACACAGCAAGTGCAGGCCAGCCTGGGCTGTTCCAGACCCTGTCTCAAAGTTTAGCGCTAAGGACATTGGGAGGCATGACCTGTGGTCTGGGATTGCAGGAGGTTCTTTCAACAGTGGTTTTTTTTTTGTCTTGCTTTTTAGATTTATTTATTTTATTTTATTATTTTTTTGTTTTTGGTTTTTCGAGACAGGGTTTCTCTGTGTAGCTTTGCGCCTTTTTCCTGGAACTCACTTGGTAGCCCAGCTGGCCTCGAACTCACAGAGATCCGCCTGGCTCTGCCTCCCGAGTGCTGGGATTAAAGGCATGTGCCACCACCGCCCGGCTAGATTTATTTTTATTTATATGTATATGTGAATGTGTGCCAAATTTGTGCAGGTGACCACGGAGGTCAGAGGAGCCCATTAGATGCCCGAAACTAAAGTTACAGGTGGTTGTGAGCCATGTCGGACACGGATGCTTCCAACCAAACTCCCACCCTCTGGCGGCAGACACAGTAACAAGATCAACAATTCAGCAGCTCTCTTCCAGCTGGAGTGGCAACACGGGTCTGCCCTCAAGGTTCAGGTTAGGGTCTGGGCTCCCGCACCAGGCCCTCAGAACCTAGTCTCCCCCTGCTGTTGGGCAGCTGAGACCTGCTAGTAACAAGCTGTGTGAGCTCAGGACAGGGGGTGTCTGATGGTAAAAGGGGAATAATGCTGTTTCTGTCGCACAGAGCTGTGGGGGTGCTTAGGAGGACACCGGGTATCAGTCAGGGCCTCAAACATTACCCCTGTGGCTTTGGCCTGTCGGCACTGGGTGCTTTGGCTAAGAGATGCAGGGCAGCTGTTCCCACTTCTACAGTTTGGCAGTTGGTCAGATGGGAGTGCCTTTAGCATCCTTACCAGGGTTTCTGAACTTCTCAGAGGTTGTTGGGCTCCAGGAGTATCTGGAGTTCCATGCCTGGTACCCTGGGAGGAGGGTAAACAGTCAGAAACCACTTCCTCCCGGCCCCTCAAACCTCAGATCTAGGCCAGAGAGGAGACAGGAGTACGTGATGAGACTAAGCCCTTACTGTGGCCAGGCAAAGGGCCTGGCATGGGGAGGCTTCTGGCATCCTGCAGGGACACTCCTTGTCTTTTTTTTTTTTTTTTTTTTTTTTTTTGTGGCTAATCTTCAGATTAGCTTCAGCTATTCTGGGCATCAGAGAGGGCCAGCAGTGAAGATGAGTTGTGAGACCAAGGCTCAGAGAAGTTGCTAGGCTATTTCCACCTGAGCAGAGAGAGCACTGAGTAATCTGAAGGCCAGCTAGGACTAATGGGACCTGTAAGTTTCAGAACGTAAGACCCTTCTGCCCTGGAGGTAAAGAAAGAGCTGATGAGGCTGTTGGAAGGGATAGATTCAGATGCTGGGGAGAGACATGCTGGACTGAAGAATCCGGAGGATGACAGA